TTATTCACTGAATAATGCTTTGCACCAACGGATGAGGGGTTGCACCAGACTTTTGTAGAGCTACATTACTAACAAAGATAAACTGTTGTGCTTGAATTAGCTCTCTCACTTTTTCCAAAAATCAAGTTCAAACTAATTTTACATGACACGTAATTTGTTCAAATGATTTTGAACCATTGACAAACCGACTCCCCTTTGTTCGTCACTTTGACATCTAAGTGTGTAGAACCCAAAATACTTCCACATGCCACTCCTCAGGCTTACTGGCTCACTCTCCTAAACAAGAGGACAGGTAATAGGTCAAGCTGAGAGTGAGTGCCCTCTGCCAGAAGACAAACTACAACAGATCCTCTGATGCTATTAGACTGTATATTTTGAACTTGAACAAGTCGTGCCCTTATGTTTGAATGAATGGTTTGGGTAAAAAGTGACATCTTATCTTAAATATGAAAGGAGTTGCCTGTTTATGTATCTGCTAAATACTCCACTTTGTTCATTAATAAGTTGCTAACTTTGTCTTTCTGCTCTTTAGGTTTGATGGTAGACAGATGTACCGTACCATGTTTGGTTTTGTTTTTTTGCTGCTTGCATTTTAGAAACAGAGCTAATGAGAGCCATGAGAGTGAACCAAAACCAACACAAACAGCTTAAAGATGCTAAAATGCTCTTTAGAGCTTAAGAGAACTGCAAAGTTGGGGGAAAGTTCTCTGTGGGTTCATCCCAATTCACATAAACTTAAGTTGCTTTCAGACATGAGCTCCGGAAGATGTCCAGAAAATAAATGTTCTCATATGAAGAACGCAACATTAGACTGTCCTGTTCAAAACAACAGGAAAAATCTGTGATCATTCAAGAGAGGGATGGAGCCTAGGTAGAGCATACAGAAGGCGGGACATGGCATGCAAATGTTACTGCAGAAATCATAATGCGTCTTTTCATTTTGAGATCTTTGTTGGCATCTTCTGAAAGTATGACACCTTCTTTCACCCTGGGATATTTGTACACTTTTAGTTTGTTTCTCTCTCCGTCCGTCACCCACTCACTTGCTTGGAATTTGCAGGAAATTGTCCTGCCGTGTTTTCACACTATGGACAGTTTACTGGGCGGCTTGTTAACATGTCTGATGGAAGTGTGTCCTCAACCTCAGCAACAACATTATCTACAGAGTGCTGGGTTACCTGCGATGTGATAATTGCATTATTCCCATTATATTTCATTGTGACGGTGACATGAAGTTTTACTCGACACAGGGTAATTCAGTCCTGCTGCTTCTTGTTTCTGATGATGCAGAGGGTCAGTGAGTACATTTGCAAGACATTTGAGAAAACTGTTGTTGAGATGTTTTTCATTCTGTTCCCATGACAAATCTACAATAATATAACTTTCAATGACTCAACTTTGGCTTGGCGCTCACAACGGATTTTTACAGATGCTAAAAATGTAATTGGATTGTTGTCAACACAGATCTGATTATGATGTTACTTTATGTAAAAACGAATGTCATAAAATGCTAATCTAAATTTGCATAAAAATTCTTCCTGTTGTTTTGTAATATTTTTTGTTTTAATCAGTTATTTGAATACGCTGTATCATAGAGGCACCGGTAAGGAATTCATTTCTGCTGCAATTTGTTTTCTGTTCGAAGGAATGACCTTAGAAAACACGCGTGGGAGCACAATCATCACCACAAACCTGGCCATGACCGTGGCCCATGCACAGGGATGATTTGTGTTGTAGTGTCATCACACAAATGTGTGGTATTTTCTGCATGAGCAGAAGATTTTAGAAATGCAGAGGGCCATGCCCCCCCAAAGAAAATTGTAGATTTCCCTGATTTCCATATATGTATTTAATTGATATGTATAGGGAAGAAATGGGAATACAATGGTTTTAAACAGGCAGTAGAAGTTGCGTCAATTTTCTTTGAAGCAGTAATGCATGAGAATCAGAACTAATGTTGGTTTTATCGAAATGATCAAGGATCCTATATCTCTGTGGTCATTGGTCTGACATTGATTGAATGTGATCAAGGTTTGGTTGTATTAAACAGCACAGGGACATAGCGCTGATGTTATCCTGAGAACTTTGAAAAAAGTAATGAGACGAGGGGAAAATTATTTAGAATAAGTAGAAATTTCCTGACTACAGATCCAAGAATTTAAAACAGGTATGAACGAGTTTGAAATAAGTAAAATATAAAACATAAAAATCTAATAAGAGGAAAATATCTTGCTGTGGGGAGGCAGCCATTAATAATATTTCGGACCTGTAGAGGGGCTTCAAGCTAAATGGTCCAGGGCAACTGAAGAACTAATCTTGAAGCAGATTGTATATCATTGATTTTTAAGTGTACCAGTAAGAATACAGACATAAGGGTTAGATCAAATTAAAGCCACAAATACTACACATGTGTTTTTATAGAACAAACAGTATTTCATCTGAAAGAAACAACAAACATGTTTCTTTAAATATGAATTCAAGTATGAACCAATTATACCTGTCACTCAAACTTATTTGAATTATCAAGATCCTATCATTGACATTTTCTTAAATTCTTTGGTTTTCTCCTTCTTAACAACTAACTGGATGCAGACTTGTGGTTTTCACCAACCTGAACATTTGTCACCCTGCCCTCTAAATAACTTGGAACAACTTGAACAGATGATCCCATGAGAGACATCATTGTGTCTGATGGAGAAGCATCATAGATCTAACACTGAGAACACAACATTGTCTCCTAGTGGAACAAAGGGCCGGAAAAAGACTTTCCTCTGATGCTGCAACACTAACTTCTGTGACAGCTGCTTTTCAGTCTTGGAGACGTCTCTGTGCTGGAATCACATTTCATTTAAGAGCATTACTTAGTGGAAACCCTGCCACAGGGATGGTTGTGCAACTCACTTAGATCTGAAACTTTATCTTAGACCATTTCAAGAGTATTGATCTGAGAAGCTCAGAGGCCTGTTTCCGACCTCATGTGACGGCTGCAAACTTCCACACACTGAACCAGAGGGGAAGGTTATAGATTTTTTACCCCATTCCTCAGGTTTTTGTTGCAGCACAGCACATACAATCTAAAACAGGAAATAACTTGAAACAGATGTTCATACTCACAGCAATTTTGACTAAAGAATTACCGAATTTGAGTGCACACGTTTAGTTAACCTGCTTTTAAAATTTTTTCAATTAGTTTTGGTCATTTAAGGTATTTGATTTTTCATGAAATGAATCTAGTTTTCTTTGAGTACCTGGAGTTGCCTGGCTGTTTGGCAAATGGAGCCACAGGTGCTTCAGATGTCCATAAATACTATTGTTGACTAATTGGACTGTGCCATGTTCCTCCTGCATGATGGGGAGGGGTGACGTCGTTTCTAGTTAGTTATTTCTGTTAGTTATTTTCATTCTTACAATTGTTTCGATAAGGTGGAGTCATTAGTTTCTTACTATTATGTATCAGAAATACTATACTAACATGTTTTGGTTGTTGTTGTTAACTTTAATAATTGCTTATAATGGTTTCCCCCTTGTGTGTCAGAATGGACTGATCGGCAGCCATATATGTTCTCTTTGTCTCAGTTTGTCAGGTCAGATAATGCTGCTCAAGCTCCCATTTAGAACGAACTTTAGTTCTGTTATTTTATCTTTGCAGGGTCCAGTTTTTATTCTGAGTATTTTTGATACTTTTTTTTATTTGCAAATTGAATTTTCTTTCAAACCACATGTTTCTTTGCTCTACTTGCTCTGTCCCTGACACATAGGACTGTTTCAAGTTGCAGTCTTGTTTGCCTCTCAAAGCAAAAAATATCAATTGATCATTTCACATGATAACATGAAACGATATCGACGTTATTTAAATCAACATCAACAGAAGGAGCTGGGACCATAGAGGACACAGGGGCCTTATCAGGATATATAAACACAATGTAAACAACCATAAGACTTATATGGTAAATGATATGGAAATGTTCCAGTTTTGGAAACTACGCATATAAACCTCTTTTGTTTATAGAAAATACTATTGCCTTGATTGAGCTTCATTTGGATTCCTGCCATAATAGCTCGGCCTGCCTTCCTCCCTCCCTCTGTCCCTGCTCCTGATGAACAGCTGAAATAGTTTGTTTGGCCACTCTGCACTGCGATGCAAGGCGGAAGTCATTGTTTTGTCTGACAGGCGGCTCGGCTTGTTCTCCGTAACAACCTCGTCCACCCCTCAACCCCCCACTGCATGCTCCTCTCTCTGCAGCAGGAGCCCTGTGTAATTACATCCAAGCCCTACGCTTGATATCACTGCTGACATCCACCAGCACAGCCCCACCTCTCTCTCTCTCTCTGTGTGTCTGCTCTCTCTCTCTTTCTGTGTCTGCTCTCTCACTCTCTCTCTCTGTCTCTGTGTGTCTGCTCTCTCACAAACAGTGTGCAGTCCTGGCTGGCTTTCAGCTGTATGTGTAGTGCAGAGCAGATAGAGAGGGAGAAGACGAGGGGGAGACGCAGACAGATGAGGGAAAGAGCATGGTAGAGAGGGGAAGAGAGAGAGGAGTGTTGTTCATGTGAGCAAAAATGGAGAATAGAAGATGGGATGTTTACTAAGAAGATAAACTCTGTGGGGTAAGTGCGGTATCATTCTGATACTTTGCTTTCGCTTGCGATGGCTCATACAATTCAAAAGTCTTAGCTTTGCCTCTGCTCCTGTAGAATATTTCACATTGTCTGGGTCTAACTTCCTCTTAAACATGACATAATTAGGCCGTGAGTTCACATATACAAGAGAGAGCTCTGCTTGTGATTGCTGCATCCTCAGACTCTCAGGGGAAGTTTTTTCCATGATAACAAATCCTCCTAAGAGGGAAAGAACGGGGGCTCGTCTCCACCTGAGGATTGAAGGCTGCAGCAAGAACAAGATCAAGACTTTATCACATCCACCTGTCACACTCGGTGGGCTGCCAGGTTTCCTGGATCCCTGCATCACGGCTATAAAATCAATTTGCTGAGGGACGGGGGATCTGATTGAGGGATCAGGGTGATTGATAAGAGGTAATTACAGATCTGTGGAGTCATAGTGCTGTCACCTAGATGTGGATGAATGAATTTTTGAAAAAATAATTTTTTTAGCAGAGTTTCCCAACTGATTGGTGTTTTTGTAACTGGGGAGAGGGAGAGAAAGAAGGATTTATGTCTGACTGCGAGGGAGCGAGAGATTCAGTTCAGTCAAGTGAACAGTTGGTTATGGCCTTGCGATTTACAAGGTTTGTAGATTTTATTTAAATCTGCAAAGCATAACTTCTGAAGTGAGATAAGGCGTTTGTTCCTGAGCTTTAAGGATATTTTTCCTCTTTGCAAATAAGTGTCAATTAATCTCAACAATATAATATTTGTCAAAACCTAATGCTCCTCCTCTTCAAGTTTTCATTATCTCTATAGTTTTTATGATTCCATGTTAAAAGCTCAATGCAAACTGCTGCCTTGACTTACATGACAGATCCTTCTGAATCACATTGTCAATTGATTTCATCGTAATAGTGTAAACAAAAGGAAATGACAGGGTTGTAAGTGCTTAGCGTCAAATCTAGTGTCTCTATTGCATGAAGACGACTTCATAATTCAATAAGCATCCAGTAAATCTACAGAGGAGCAGAGGAAACATCACAATAAGAGACAATTTCCAGTTTTAAGGAAAAATCATTTTTCTCCCTTCAGTTTCAATCTCTAAAACCTGGTCCCAAATATAAATAAATAAATCATCACATCTTTCATTTGTTGGATTGTTGGTAGATATTGATGAGACCTGATAATCACTGTTTTCTCACTATAGCAGAAGTTATCACTATTGACTATTCACACTATAAGTGCTATTCCAATGTAAAATTATGGATATGGTAATTTACCAAATGGGGAAGTAATGGGATTGAATTTTCAATCTGGTTCTTGATATTGTGTGTCTGTATTAGCATATGGCCGGTGTGTTGTGCAGATGGTAATTTGAAGGGTTATGAAGAAAGACGAAGATGAATCAAAGTACACAGTGAAGGCACAGACACACTAGTTATTAGTAGGTTGTGTTGAGAAGGGTAACTATCATGCACATTGATACTGTTGTTCTAAATTTCTAAGTTGTGGTAAATAGAGTAGAGACCAGATCAGCCTCTTGATGTGGAGGCACAGTGGTTAGCAGTGTTACACGAAGGTCTTTCTGACTGGAGTTCTCATCTTCTCCTTGTGCCTTTGAGGCTTTCCTCCGAGGACTCCGGCTTCCTCCCACTGTCCAAAGACATCCTGGGTAATTGGACACTCTTAATCGCCCGTAGGTGTGAAAGTCTGGAATGGTTTGTCTCTATATTTCAGCTCTGTGATGGACTGGGCAGGGTCGACCACACCTCTTGCACAGTAGCAGCTGGGATTAGCTCAGACAGCCCCCCTGATGCTTAAAAGATGAGCTGTATAAAAGGATGGATATTTTGCATTGGTGGCTGTGTAAAGAAGCTCACCTCAATGGATGTGACATAACTGTGCTTTAATAATGCACTTTACTTCAATTACATATGACATATGAAGCATACATCTTCTATACAGTCACTCTGCTGGAAGGAGGGGTCTTCATACACTGTAGATAACAACAGATGCTATAATGAATGGGCTGAGCATCTTTATCAGGGGCGGCCAACCGTCATGCCTGATGGAATATTGTCAAACCATACAGACAGAATCAGAGTAAATGTGAGACAACAGAGTGAAAACGATGTCAATTTAGCTCCAGTTTTCCTCCAGTGAATCTCTCTCTACTCTGCCCCATCTCAGCTGCTGCATGTCAATCATCCGGGAGTCCGTGTGTCAATCAAACAGACCCCCCCCCCCCAATCTACGGCTTTTTAAACTCTAATAAAAATGTTCAGATGGACCACCAGGTCTTCATGAGGAGGAGAGTATGTGGCGAGTATTTCATGGGAGAAATTGGCGTTTTTTGATTGGCAGTCATTGGAGCCAGATATTTCTTGGAGCCAGTTTGAGCCAGCACCTGTTGGATCTCCATGGTATTACACTTTTCAGCACTTCCACATAGGCTTCTCTTTTTGGAGGTGGAAGCTACGTCTACTTTTTATATACAGTCTATGGGTCACATGGACAAAATGAACTAATAACGCCTGATCTGCTGTAGTACTTTCTAGAAATGTCTATTAGCTCTTATGGTTCATCAAAGTAGCAAACCTTTTGGGTCATGAAAGACATTATTATATAAAGCATTTTTTAAATCAATGTTCTATTCAGCCCCTTAGATTTCAGGCTAATGGTATTTTGCACACCGGCTCACTGTCTTACCTTCCTCGTTCTAAAATTCAGCTCCGCAAACCACGAGCCAACAAACAGCAGGTTTTCTAACCAAAAACTCCACCTACTGAGGACTACATCAAGTAGACAGGGCTGAGATGAAATCACACACTGTTAAAACGAGGTCACCAAATGTGATCTGTGCTGTGCTCTGTGTTTTGTTGATGCTATAATCTGAATAAAAATGCACTTTTCTGCATTAATACGTGCTTGATGTTTGAAGACTTACAAGCATGACCTGATGTGTTTTTCATTTGTGCACTGAAAGGTATTCACCAGAGCACGCCAGCTCAGAGGACGCTGAAAGGACAATGACTCTCGAGCTGCACGTTTGATTTACACCTTCACTGTTACACAACTTCTGCCTCATTAAAAAAGGCTGTTCGCATTTAACAATTCTTGATTGTTCTATCTGCTCCTCTCTAACAGACACTGGCAGGAATCTACTGGAGCTGTAAGCAGTGTTTTTATAGTGCACACTACTGTGAAATCAACAGCGCCAGAAGGTACTGCGAGGCTCATCTGTATGGCGGAGTGACGGTGTGTCACCTTAAAGAAGCGGAGAAGAAAAACAGAGCCTTGAGGAGTAAACACTCGTCTATGCAGTGACGGGCAGACTTTCCTAAAATATTCAGCAGAAGCAAATGTGCATCATGCCAAGGAACATTCTCAATTTAGATAGTGTATAATGTCCATATAAGGACACGTGTAATGATGATACAATGGATTCACGCTTCTTCTCTTAAGTGAGGACATAGCTGATGCTCAGCCTCACTCATTCCCTTGAAATGAACCAAGGACATCATGGAACCAACTTGAAATTTAATATCTAAACTGACCGACCCTGGATACGGCTGCGCAGTCTTCATTATGGAATCTGAAGAAAGCACTTCGGGCCTGTCCACAGCTGCGTTGGTGGCCATAGCCTGCAACACGTTTGTTGCCATTCTCCTCCTCCTCCTTTGTCTAATCCTCTATCGAGCCTGCAGGGTCCCCTCCAGCCCCGAGAGGCTGCCTGTGCTGGCTCCACGCGAACGAGAAACCCAGCAGACGAATGAGCACAAGCACCTGTTGACCTCCTGACTATAGAGGCATGAGTCAAATGTAGCAAAGGGCGATGGCCTCCATGCACTCCTCCACGGGAGAGCGGTGCGGGACTGACTGCAAGCAATAATCTGGTGTTGTCCTTCCAAGTTTTTAAAGTCACCTGCCAGTCTGATGGCAGACGTGACTGCGCCTCACAAAGAAGGCATGAAGTAAACTGTGGTGGGGAGAAGACACTATTTTTAAGCAGCCATCACTTGTCAGCTCTTGTCCTTGGTTCGACAGAGCCCGTGGACAAAGGCCGATGTGAATGTTTTCATTTACCGCAGACGAGCCTGAAACAGCCACAGGGACGGAAGCAGATTACACAGAGAAAGGAACGATGAGTATACAAAGAGCTGCTGGCCTGTTGTTGGTTTCTAAATATATCTTCCTATTTCATACTCTCTCCTGAAAAAAAAAAAGTCGATTGCTGAGAGCAGGGACTTGAGCCTGTGTGGAGTATGTGTGTCACTGTCACTCATAAAAACCTCTGATCTGTGAGGCATACAGTCACACTGAGGATGTTACATAAGGACTGGAGAGGCTTAGTTGAGATTTGCGTCCTCTTCAGTATGGCCCTTACGCTGACATCTGCTCGTGGCTGTCCATGATGGCCCACTCACTCTGGACTGAATTGCAGGGAACTAATATTCAGTCCAGTACAGAAGCTGCTCATGTTCCATCACATCTCCACACAAATGATCAGCATTTTAATCTTAACCTGAATCAGAGGTACTGCAATGTCACACTCCAACAAGAAATGCAATGGAATTTGAATATTTTGGATTGTGCACTTTAAACATCACAATACTTTCCAGGAACTCAGCTTGAAAGGCTTTAGCTCACATGAAAATACAGCTGTTCTAGCTTCTATTTATAGAATTTGAAATGTTCCTACTTTGGCATATCCTTGTTAAAGTACAAAAAAATGCAACGTGACAGAGAGTCACACAGCAGAAGGGTGGTCTGAAAGCCGTACACATACTGCAGCAATCTACCCTGGGATTGGGTTCTATTTCTACAAACTTATGTCATCAGAATAACATGGAAAGATCCAGTGATTACATCAATATTCTCCACATACTGACTCTAAAACAACAAACAAAAATACTGACAAGTTTAAGACATCTGTTGAAATTGTTTCTTGCATTTATACGCCCATTTTGTCAGGTGTGAAAACACCAAAATGAAGAAAATCTATGTTTCTCCACTGACAACAGCAGACCTGAGGCCTGTACGAAGCAGGGTTTATGGTTAGCAAGGTAACTTTAATTTTAATTTCTTACTGAGATAAATCGCCATGGTAAATTGTGCTTCACACTTAACCTGCTCCGGTGCAGGTTGACTTCAGAGGATCAGAACAAATCCTGTCACCATATTTTACATTACATTTAGCTGATGCTTTTATGCAAAGTGATTCTGGGTTTTCAATCAAGTTGAGCCAACAGATATTTTCACAGATCAGTGGAATTGTTTTGGTTTTAAAACAGGGCTTCTGACAAACAGAGGGATTTGTATCACCTTGAATAAATACATCACTGCAAATATTACAGCTTCACTTTCAGCGAACAAAGATTCTTTAATTCCTGACAGTGATGCTGTCTGTCTCATCGCTGTAGCTCATGAGGACACCCCCCTGAGACTCTGAGACAATAAATGGAGATAACAACCAAACCCTTTGATTTCTTTTAATTGGAAAAATGATCCAAACACTGTTGCTCATGATTAGAAATAAACATTTCAGTAAGACTGACCTCATCAGATATTATGAGAACAGAGATATCACTTAATTCTTTTTACCAGCATCACATGTTCATAATAGTTTGAGCAAGAATACTCACTCAGTAAGAAACTCAATATACTGTCCGTAGTCTTATCTAAGCTTTTCCATTCCAGCTTTGTGAAAATAGTGTTTACATTTTTACTGAATGTCACTTTTGTCTGTTTATCAGTGTTTCTTCTCCTATCATAAATAACTTAATCATGGTTCTGAGGATGTTGCTCTGATGACTGCCTCTTTCACATGAACGTGATCATCAGTGGTGGAGGAAGTATGCAAACATTTGGGTATGAGTCCATAAAAATGTTCTAAAATGTACTCAAGTAAAAGAACCATATTATCTTTTCTACTTGAGTAAACATATCAAAGAACTTGCTTTTAAATATAGTTAAAGTATAAGAAGTAATACTACTTGCAGAGTGTAGCCTATTCCCCAATGTCATACGGCATCAAGGAGGTAGTGTACAGATATTTTTTCTCAAATTTATGAAAAACTGACTTAAGTATAGTAATTGATGTACTTCATCACATCTCACCACTGATGAGCATAGCTGGAAAACCCAGAGTAAAGTGAGTCAGTTGATAACCAGCTTTGTAACACAAGTTATCCAAGGCAGCCAATGTTGGACTCACTGAAGCCAGAACTAAAAGATATGTGGTGTATGTTGATCTTGCTTCATAGCACAGGCCTCAGAATGTAACAGACACGTCAAAAGAAAAGAACAATTCAAGAAAATGGATTCTGGAAAATTCAACTTACAACCAAAGATCACAGAATCACTCCAGCTCCACTGTGTCACGTACTGTTTCTCTGCCTACCCTGCAGTGTGCCTCCTCTACAGCTGTCGTCTCATCATTGTCCCATGGCCGCAGTCACTTGTATCAAATAATGCTGGGATTGAGTCGTCCTCTCTGACTTACCCTGCAGAGATCAGGTAATGAATCTCTCTTAGGAAAAGGAAGGATGCTGGACAAAAGGACAAAGATGCTCTCTGTGGCAGAGACACAAAGAGAGAGCCGGGACACTGTGGCAGGATATGATTCCAGTTGAGCATCATAGCTCGGGGTGATGCTTCACTGAAGGACACGATCATAAATAAGGAGGGGAAGGGAGGAAAAAAAAAAGCCAAATAAAGACAGACACCACTATGACTCCGAGCAAAGATTCACCAGTATATGGGATATTAAAAGGCTCCTCACTCATCTTTGGACGACTGCCCAGAACAGCGTGTGCCAGCCAAGATAAGTCGTCTGGATATGGTCCACAAATACTCAATCTATTACACAAATTTATCTCCCACTTCACTTGGAGTAACCCCCCGTCACTTTTTTAGCTTAATCAACTTGTACAATACGCACTGAATGGATTAAATAAATCAACTGAGCCAGTGGAATTCCTGTGTTCCCTATGTAACATGTATCAACTACTGCAGTAACAATAAATTAATAATTAACTAATTAAATAGTTTTCTTGGCATGTCAGCGTTTTTTACTGTTGCACACACTGAGGAACACAAATGGGAGGAGTATGAATTAGAGAAAAAGATTGTCTCAGATTTGTGTGTTGGGTTGAGAAGAATTAAACTGGGCTTTGCTCTTGATCCCGCAGCAGACTGAGCAGCTTCTCCATTTTGGCTACTTCCACTTCTGGACCTTTAGGCAGCTCCTGACCCTTCTTAGCCTGCAAACACACATTATATTATTACCAGATGTAAACAGATTTAGGTTCCCATAATATTAGAAATAACTAGACCACCTACCCACACAGTTAACGGAAAACGATCAAACACAAAAACAGATTGTGCAGGAGCAAAGTGGTGCATTACTACTCCATTATGATATATTTAAGTAGAATGGAATTAAGTAGAGTTCATGCCTTCACCAATGCCCAATATTCCCCTTATGATACCACAGTGGGTATTCAAACAGAAATCAACAAAAATGTTAATTGTTGATGTTGACAATTATAAGGAAAGTAAAAAAAAAAAATCCTGGATTTGGATCTGGATCAAAATGTAATAGGTACTTTCTTTGGTCCCACCCCACCCCTCCACAAAGTTTCATGGAGTAGTCTTTCCTGCTAACAAACAAACAAACAACAGAAAATGCAGACAAAACATAACCTCCTTGGCGGAGATCATTTTATATATGTTATTTGTTTCCTCTGTATTGTAAAAGTGCTTTGAGCTTAAGGGCAGCATTGCAAAGGGTAAATCCAAAGAGATTCTCCAAAGTTTGTGGTGTGAGCATCTTGTTATTGTCGGCACATTCAAAATTCCTTTGTGTAGATAACCACACCCACTTAAGAGCTAAATATATAGGTAATTCATAAATATATAATTCCATCTGAGAAATAGTTACATCAACTCCCCATCAAGGCTCCGTCTTTGATAAAAGAAGCCTAATACAATCTTGGGGTTCAGCATAGCTTCCCTGGATTTTTGAACCATCTTAATTCGGAAACAATAGATCGGACTGCATCAGTACTGTATTCAACTGCTGACACACTACACAATAAAACCACACACTGACAGGATATTCTCCATGATATCATGGACTTTCATTGTCAGAAAACAAAGAGGTCGTTCATAATAACTTATCAAAAGCCCAAATTATTCGAGAACTTCATGAAAATCAGAAAGCAGCATTAATATACTGGGACTGTCCAGTTTTCCTCAGGACACTGAAGAAAACTGTCTCAGGAATGGAGAAAGTGTATTTAATAACATTTATAATGATGGGTGGTTACATTGAAGGACACACAGTCCGACGTTCTTGTCTACATGCTCACACTGGACAAACCACATCATGAGGCATGTCAAAGTAAAACATAAAGATGTCTGCTGGGCTGCAACCTTCAGAGGCTGCATTTGAGTAGACTGTCCCTTTTCAAAGAGTCCTTCAAATTAGTCCTTTCATCCCCAAGGAATAAAGGCTCCAACAGGTGGATCCTTCTTGGGCCAACCTATCCCAGGATTCATTGTGCATATAGGTGACGAGCCAATTTTCAAAGAGGTTATGGTGCCGGCAAGCGAAGAGGCATCCAGTGCTTGAGTATCACGCATCAACTCAACCCAACAGCTAATAGTACATAGGTTAAAGAATTAAAACATTTGTCGCGTCCAACTTCAGCTCTGTTGCTAGGCAACAGCAATAAGGGTGGGACAAACTGGTGAAATCGATCACAGAGGTCCTCTGTAGACCAGACCGTCTCATTTAAGTTCGGCCTTTGCAGTCTACTCAACCCACAAAGGAGGCAGCCACTGAACTCTATGGTCAGTGCACCTCTCATCTTATCTTGCCAATGTTAAACAGCAATTCACATGAAATGATTGTGTATTAACAAGAATATAGCACTGTAAATCTTGGAGGCAAAAGTATCATATATTATTAGTAGGCTATGGAAGTGGAAGACTGTTTAATAGTCACAGTTAAACAATTGGGGGTGGCCACCTTGAAATGTGATTTTTGTTTAGGTGAAGCTATTTAGAAGTTTGAAATGGCTGCAGTGAGAGAGACGATCCAGACAGACAGCTGCACTCCCTAAACATATAAGCTTCAAATCTCAGTGCAACACAATATCCCTGCAATGATGAATGGCTTAATAAAAACAAAGCTTCCCCCACAGTGGAGAGAAAGGCTGACTGAGCACAAACAAGCACTTGATAACCTGTGCTCCATTTTTTTTTAAGATCCCATTTTCACTGTAGCTGGTTTACTTATCACACATATCACTAAAATCCCAGACTTGCATCACATTCCCCACCTGTGCTATCGGCCCCTGAATTTTGTGTCCTCTCATTTACCAGCACTGTACAAAAATACAAATTTAAATGCTTGGATAAATCAAATGTAAATACTTGGGTAGTAGTAATGTAGGGGCAACACTGATAAATGGAGCATCCTTAAATATTTCATAATGCTGCTTTTACAATGCAAGTGTTAGTTTGGATGAATTTGCCTCTTGTGGTCAACCAAAGATGATGAATGTTGTGTTTGCCTACAATACACTGTGAATGCTTATGTAATGTATATGTAAATTGTGACCATAGACTGTTTAGAAAGACTGACAATGTGTCTCCAATTCCTCCCACTATCCAGTATCCTGAATACAGACACTTCAAAAATTATCTTAGTTTTTGGGGGACAGTCCACTTTTTAATATACTGTCTATGATAGTGACACATTAAACCACAAAGTGGTAAATGCACAACTTTGTCTAAATTCTGCAACCTCTTCTCAAAACCTCAAACATTTAAAAATAAAGGGCCTGTGAGCAGCAGAGAACATGGTCCCACACAGCACAGAATAACAGTCACATAACATTACCTCATTAGTGGGTGTAGCCCTGAGGCTTACAAATGGGAAATACTTACTAAATATAACACAAAACACAACCCCCACAGGACTTTAGAACATATTTTGGCAGTGTATATGCTGCAATGAATTTGAAGAATCTTAACAACTAATTAAAATCCATTTGAGGAGCACTGGAGTACAAGAGAAGTCAAGTGGATTGTTTTAGCAACATGGGCCGACTCATCAAAAGCCTTTTAAACAGGTGAGTACAACACACTGCATTTTTAAAGTTTGGATTACTTGGCCACTGTGCTACTTCTCTGCTATATTTGGGTACATTAAGGGGTTAGTTGTGCTAGTGTTTGCTGCTGTGCCAATTTCACACCACACATAAGTTATATTTGCTGTGGGTGTTTGTAATGCACATTTTCCACACTGGGTTCTAAAATGCTATGAGCACTTTCAGTGCTGCTGAGCATTGCAATAATTTCCCAATAGGACACTTAAAGCCTAGTCAGAGGTCACTAATGATGTAGTACCGTGTATGTATGTGTTGGAGAATATACTCATACACTCATAAATTGTGTTTACGAGTTGAGTGTGGTAGGAGAGCTGTTTCTGCACCCAGTTGATGAAATGCAATGCATAATCTACAAAAACATGTAGTGAAAATAAAGAAAGTATTACTCCAGTCAGTAGAATTTCTTGTAATTTAGATGCACCAACATGAGCAAAACAAAAGAAAACCAGAGAGGCAGCAGTGACTGTAAATGTGTCCTGATTAAAGTGTTGTGACTCAGTGTGCCTTTTAGTTTCCTCCTATGTTTAGTAGATCAGTGGGAACGCAGCCTTCAATGACTCATCAATAAAGGGACCAGAGGCTTCTTTGCATTGTTATTTAGCAAAATTAGGTCTAGGTCAAGACTTTGCAAAGATTGAATCATCTGATTTGCTTTCATTATTGTGGAACAAGTTGCAGTCATGAATAATGCAAAAGGACAAACACGCATTCAGATTGTTAACAGATAAGATTGTATATACGGTGAGAGGACGCTATAGATTAACACAAACACACACACACACACACACACACACACACACACACACACACACACACACACACACACTACCACACACACACACACACACACACACACANACACACACACACACACACACACACACACACACACACACACACACACACACACAAACACTTCTCCATAGTACTGAAAGTGTTGGAAGTTTGGCTAATTTGTAATGTGGACAAGCTCCATTTGTATGTGCCAGTAAGGCCCAATTATAGAGATAAAGAAGCAATTGTAATACAGCTGCATTTAGGAAGAAAAGTTTATCTTAAGTTACTTTGACAGGCTTAATGTGGGTGTAGCTTTGGAATGAATTAGTTTAAATGTTTAAAATTCTAGAAACTCAGCAAGACTCTTACCTTGGGTTTCTTGCGAAGGTTGGGGGAGAGTTTGAAGCTAGTGACGTAGCCTCGGTCATCGCCCACTATGATGATGGGATAGATGGGGTTAAATTCCAGGTGCGTCAACTTGGTCTTCTTGGCCACAACTGACTGCCGACAGATCGCCTCGTATTTGTTGATACTGAGGTCAAAAACATGAACCTAAAAAAACAACAACAAAACTTTCAAAACGAGTTTGTTCATCAACATTGACTGAATTGACAGCTCAGCATAACCACAATGAAGGAGTACTAAAGCCATTGAAGAAAAACTATTTGGAGATTGAAAATAAAATAGATTCATGAATTATGATATTATAAGAATTGAGTTATTATCTAATGAGAAAAGTATCTTAGGGGAAATACGCAGCGTGGAGAACCCGTTAACGTCGGACTTCCACTCCTTCTGGATCCAAAATCTTGAACAATCTCAATGTTTGTTGAGAAACCAGGAAACAAATAGCTCACAGATTACTGACCAAGATCAGTTATTTCCTCTTTCATAAAAGAGTCATTTCCTCCAGTTACTGTGGTTCTTTCTCTGGAATAGAGAATTTCTTGCACAAAGTCCTAATACTTATAATAATGTGGTGCTGATGATAATGTGGTGCTGATGTGGCAAAAAAATTGACACATAAACTTAAGTATTTCTCATTTTAATTCAAAATCCCAATCGAATACACAATCTTACTGATGGTGTACTTCACAATACCTGTCCTCCGTCTTGATCACATAAGCTGTTGTTATACACTGCCTTTTCGTATCTGCTGAGAATGTTGTCTTTTATGTGAAGAGGAGAACAAGCCTCTGCAGGGATGCAAGTCTAACCATGTGGTGTAAGGAAGTCATTAGATTAGTGTGCACGTCTGTCTGTAGGTGTGTATGTGCATGCACGTTAGAAGCTCAAATACATAGAGATAGGCATCTTTACCCAGAAAGAGCCAGATCACAGATATTCCTCTTTCAGGCATTCAGAAAATCTGTTGACAAGAAAATGAGCCCGCTGCCGGGTACGGCCCACTCCTTTTACCAGACTGTGCCCAGGCCACTCAGGTTCACACCGTCTTTGTGTAAATGCACCACACAGAGCATCGCAGTTATCTCTCCCAACCAAACTCAACAAAATCATATCCTACCAGGGTTCAACTCTCTGCAACCTCCATCACAACAACCATTATCAAAAAAAGTTCCATTGCTAATATACAACAGTTAAAGTAACATTAGCCATGACTGATTGCATGACAGACTGAGTACATCTACAAAGTTGCAACTCAATACCTATTACCCCCCCCCCCCCGAGATATTTGTTTGTGCTGCTAAGGTCTGTGTCATTTTTACACCTTAGCCTGCCAAGCAAGTCATTATCTTTATGAACACATGTACCCGCACACAATCATTGTGACATTTTGCGGAGTGGCACGCCAGGTTGCCATCAACAGTGTCAGTAAATACACATCAAGGAGCACACATACACACAACTCACTCTGAGGCGTTCAATCAGACACTTGTCACAGAAAACAACAAATGTCCTGCGAAGAAGCTGCTGCCCCTGGGAACATAATGCTAATTAACATCATGCAGCGTGACCGCACCAGTGACTGTGTGACGTCTGACAATATTCTGTTATTCTTCAAAATCTGACAGTGATCTAATACCAAGGCAAGGCTAACACTGCCTTTGGGTTTAGAGTAATGAGTGAAGCGTTATTTAGTGGAGGCTGTTAATGTGCATGGCCATGTCAGGTTTACAGGTGACATTTCACACCATCTCAAAATTTGGCACACGTATACAACACCTGCATAAATTTCAGCCAAGCACATCCTTAAAATTGGAATCATATTTCAGTTTTGAGTTGGGCACCCTGAAAAAAACCCTGTATCAGCTACATTGACCTTGGTTGACTCCAGTTTAATATTCTTGTCCTCCCGGCTGCTTGTAAAAATGTATACCCACTGATGAGCTTTTGATGAGCTTTTTAAATAGCTTCTGAAAACTGCTCTTGATCCAGTTTCAGAAAATAAATCACAATACTCGTGCGACTTCATATGCTTTCTAGCAAAGTCATTTCATTTGAGTTACTTATTTCATTTTTTAGCAGAAAATATTAACAGTTATTCTGGGTTTAAACATCTGCCATATGTGATGCCAGTTATTTATTTTCAACTTGTTTACTATACACAGAAATGTTGTTGTTTTTTCATTTGTAAATCTCACTTCCATGTCTGGTTGTGATGTACCTTATTGTGTATTACTATACATTGTGCCTGTGCTAACTGAATCTTGGCATTGGAAGGGAACACAGACATGCACACACGTACACACGCAGGACAGGAAATGTGTCAGACACAGCACTCTGGACTTTAATAGCCTGGCACAGGCTGGTACAAAAACAAACAGATGAAGACAGTTTGCAGCGATACAAAGACAATATGTGGAGATGAGCAACGTGGCATCCAGTGAAATTACTTTTGGCTGGAATCGACCACTGTCAGGGCCGGAAGCTGCACTTGTTATAAGAAGCCATGTTTGAGCAATCTCTATTGCTTGAGGCCTCAGGCTAATCTGAGAAGATACTAGCAAGGGTTAAGTCAGCTGGGTCTGAAACTATATAGAAAGGATAATAATGAAGTGGGTGGCAAGTGGTGGATGTTGCAGCTGGTGGGATTCTAATCTGTCAGGTAAGTGTCAATGCGTGTGGTGGTGATAATCATAGGCTACAGCCAAAGCATCCAGAGCCTCATATAGCTCTGCAACATGGTCTGAGACTGGTTGCATAGTCAGCGAATACCTGTAGACATGAAAATGTCATTGGTAATGTGTTCTTCAGGATTTAAGTTAACTGCCAAAAACACTGTCGGTGTGCAGAGTACACAAATCTATTAACCGATCTCATACCACATCTTTAAGGTATGGTAGTATTATCCATGTAAAACTGAAATCACTTCTTCGCTGCTCCAAAATGGCAGTTGTGCTGTACTGCCACTGTTAAGTACTGTTTTTAGAATGGCAAATAATTGATTTCCAGTAGTGTAGGGTTAGCCAGAGCTAGTTAAAATGTCAGCAATTTGCAATATTTCATGCTGGAAAGTCCAAAAAGTAAAACATGGCAAGTTTCAAGTTTAAAGACAGTAATTGTGTATTTCTAGATTTATATATTTTTGTTCTTTCTAAATTATGACTGCCAAGCTAGACAATAAAAGAAGTTCAAGTTCAAGTATCAGAATCAGTATCGGAAAGAGAAAATGGTATCGGATCATCTCTATATAATATATGTTTAAATGTACCAGATGATTTCCTCAACAATAAATGCAAAACATTTGAAATAAATCTGAACATAGATCATGCACTGAGTATTCTGAAGGTCTTAACAAGTGTAAAAGGACACTTACTTTGCCATCTGCTGTGACAGCAGCAAATACAGTGGAGGAATATGGAGACCAGGAAACATCTCCAACAGCTGCGTTCAGGTCAAAGGTGAAAATCGGAGTGCTGGAAAAATCACACAGAAACAAGGTCACAAAGTGTTCAGATTATTGAAAAATCAATAATTCTTTTGGATACAAAACAGCACACTTTATTTCTACAGTCTGTGGCTTATTTCTTTCCTCCTAGTTTCCAGTGGTGGAAAATCACCAATAGACCGTTGTCCATGGTAATCAGTTTCAGAGTCCAGAGACTGCTGCTGCAGCAGGAAACGTGTGGTGATCAAACAGAATGTTTCCTCATGTTATTAACTTGGGAAACACCACTGAAGTCAAGATGAAGCAAAAATACATTTCAAAGAACTGGAGCCAGACACATACATGTCTTCAAAACGACGCTGTGACAGCGAAAGAGTAAGGTAAAATTTCCCTTTCAAAAGGTAAAGAGGAATAGACTTGAATACATACATGACAACAATGTTTTTTTGAAGAAATTAGGTGTTTGACTGACCAAGAAAGGAACTTATTATGCAACCACCACCAGGAAATACCTCTTCAAACATTCAGCAAGTGAAGCAGTGTCACAGTTACGGTTTATTATCTATAGCTGCATCTAAAAGAAATGATCAAAAAATGAACAGGCTTACACTCTGTTGGCATGTTACAAAAAAGAGATCTAAAAACCAAAACTCAGGTAATTAACATATAGTAGACATCAAGTTAGAACTGGACTGAGCAGCCAAACTGGGAGCACAGAGACTTAAAACACAAGGGAGGCTGGGACAATTGAACACAGGTGAGACACATACAGTGGGGAAGAAGGATAAAGACAGAAAGTATAGCAAGTAAGATATATAAAGTAGGTTGCTTCTAATTAATTACTATGTTTGTTTACTACATTCATACATAGAACTGTTTCCATGCAGCTCCATTACATACCTTTTGTAGTGTGCTTTTACCCTGAAACTTATGATTATGACACACGATTCGTTAAGCATTTTTTATGCCAATCACACTCAGAATCTAATGAACCGCAGTAAACAAACCAGAATGTCAAATCAACCATAATTCTTCCTGTTATTTGCACCTGCTGCATTAAACAAGTCTGTGTGAGACGCGCCTCAGATGACAGAAAAAAATACTCCCTCCAAGCTGGTGTGTCTGATTGATGAATAACATGCACTTAGGTAGGTGTAGAATGTCTCTTAAATAAAACACAAAAGGCTTATAAATCTGGCCCAGAGAGGGTTTTTTTAATGACAGAATGACACTGCACTGGTAGGATTCATAAATTGTATTCCAGTTTATCACTGGGCAGAGGTGCAGATTTGTGGTGCTGACCTTTTGGTTTGATAAATAGACTTTATGCAACTCACTTTTATTATCACAAGCCCTTCAGTTTATTCAGGGCTGGCTGACGTCACATGACAGGAAATATGAGCCTCATCCATCAAATAGAAGGAGCAGTTCCCTGTGTCAAGCTTTGACACTTCTAAACAGTGCGGTAAAGAGTTTGTGAAAAGTTGCTTGTTCCCCCGCCCCTCCCTCTGGAAATAATAAAGCTTGTGGGGGTGTTATGGATCATTCTTGAAAACCCTGTTTCTCATAATGGGCGGATGATTACTGTCATTATTCAGTCGAGCTGCCTGTGCTGACAAGAAGTGGGAGGTACTATAGGTTAGTCAAATAAAGCAGGAGAATGATGCCCGGTCCATGCTGAGTACTAGAATGCAATAAAGTCTAATATACTGTAATATTATGGAAAGATTACAGGAATAATGGTATTTGATAATGTTGTCACTGAAACACAGAGCATAAAAATATAAATAAAATGTTCCTATTAGAGGTAAATTACAAATGTGAGTCAGATTATTTTCTCCAATGATACTTGCACCAAAAAATCAATTAAACATTGATAAACAGTCCATTACAATTAACAACTATATACTAGCCGATTGATAAATACTAGCCAATGTATGCATTTCAATTTTAAATGACAAAATATTTTGACTCTCGCTCTCTGCCCATGGAGTATACTGCCATAGGTCAAGTCAAACTAATCTGCTTATTTTAACCCAACGCTGACGAGGTTCAAAGAGAGACTGTGAAACTGAGTATTTCAAGCTTTTCCTTGGAGATGTCACCCTCCTCTTCAAACGTGCTCCAGCCAAATACATGAGCTCTGAAAAGCTTATCATCAGCCAACTCTGGCAGCCGTGTTTGATGTAACGTAGCGCCCTTAAGCCAGCAGCGTCAGAGAGGGAACTCTGGCTGTTGCAGTGATGGCAACGTGATATTAGTCAGTAATAAAAACAATATGTTTTCTGCATCTTGATACAAGAAATGAAAATACTGTTATGCTAGAAAAGCTGCACAGAAATGGAAAAGTAAAGTAGTAAAGTAACCTACTTGATGGTATGGTCCCAAATCTTGACGGTCCAGTCTGAACTGCAAGTGATGAAAACTTTCGGGTGGAAGTAGTTCCATTTCACAGCGTCCACTGCCATGCTGTGGGCATCGTAGGTCTCCAGGAACTGGCTGGAGTAAGTCTTGGAGCACTGGGGAAAAGAGGCAAATTGATTTGGATGAAAGTGGATAATGTAACCACAGGTTTTCTCTTAATCATTTCTCATCTGTGTTTAGTTACTGGATGCATGCATTACTTGCTGGTGGCACCTGGAGTAAAATAATGTCCCAGATAATTGGTTAAATGACTCTGTGTCACAGTTAAGACAAGAGAGGACATAAATGCAGATGAAGGGCAAGGCTCTAAAAACATTCCTAATAACTTTGAGCGTTTGGTACACGGGGACACTGAGTAACATGGGCTTTATGTTCAAAAATGTTTTACTCCCAAGCCTGAGCTGAGAAAACACAGGAGACTAGACAAAGTTCCCTCTAGAGCCTCAGAAGACATCAGGCAAATGTTTTCCCAGATTGATGAGCATACGCTCTTCATGACTAGTGAAAGGAAAACACTTTTTCATTGGCAGCTGATGGACAATTTCTCCTTTGACGTTGCTAATTGGGGTGAGACTATATATTAAATATCCTTAATAGTTTTAATCCAAAGAGAAAAATGCAATTGTCTCTGGTTCAAGGTTGACTCATCCTATACATTTCCAGTTTATCTAGCACTGACAGAATAATGTTTGCCAAAACAGCAGGGATACATTTACTGGACAATCTGTTATAAAACAGCTTCCTGCCTCGAGGGGACAGCTGTTGCATTTCCAAGCACTGACAGATTGATAGTTGACCTGCAGCTAGGTGAGATTCTTAATCTGTCCTCTCCTGAGGTTTCTGTGCAGTTGAACCTTGATGTGACAGAACATATTTCATCACACACACTGGGCGCGTTTCTGGCAACATGTCTGCAATGAGAGCTGTGTAGGTGAGTTGCTTGCGAAGGAGTGTGACCAATATGTGTGCCTTTCCTTGATCGTGTACTGTGCCTGTTGCAAAGTAAAACAACAAGCTGTCAGAGATGATTACAGTTAGGTACTGTAACTAAGATGTGTTTGACAGCTAAGGGTTTCCAAAGACATTTTCAGTACAAATTACAGTGTCTTGTATTAAATGCTGTTTGTGTGCCATGTTGCACTATATAAAACGAGGCTGTTTACCTTTTCCATCTTATTGAAAGTAAGTACACTATCACCTCTTTTAAGCTATATGGTTTGAATTGTTTTTGGATGACACTGAAGCTCTCTTGGGGCAGGACGGTGGCACAGTGGTAAGCACCACAGCCTCACTGATTCACAGTATGGCCGAGGTCTTTCTGTGTGTGGAGTCTGTTCTCTCTGTATTGCATGGGTTTTCTCTAGGGTTCTCCGTCTTTCTTCCACAGTCCAAAGACATGCAGATTGGTTTTGGCTTAATTAGAGACTCTTAGATGGTTGTGAATGGTTGTTTGTCTCTATGTCAGCCCTGTAGTACACTAGCCAGAGTGTTTCAGGCCTCTTGGCCAATTCTGGCTCCAGCTCCCCTGCAACCCTCAAATGATAGGCAGTGTAGATATGGAGGGATTAAGCTCTCATGCTCGCATATTATACACAAATATTGTCTTTGTTTTTTTCATGGGTGGGATTTTACTGTAT